ATCGCTACAGAGGGTTTTTTTTTCTTTTTCTTGGGAGAGTTCATGTGATCCGTACAGGGCCAATCAGCACTGTCCAGACAGAGGTCAGGGGTTCCACATCCTCCTAGAGCAGACAGAAGCTTTAACCAGTGCTCTATTGAACACTCATAGAAGTCACAAGACTGCTCTAACTGCTGATGGGAAAAGGTATTTAGCAGTTTATATTTACTAAAATAATTGCATTTCCATGTTCTGTGTACTGTAGGAGACCAGATATAGTGAATGCAGGGTCCTGGGTTTAGTAACACTTTAAACATAAGTCATCCAAGTTGGTAGGCAATGGTTCATAAGATTTGGTGTGATTGTAGCTATGATGAGTAGATCCCTTTTTTTTTTTCTGTCATTGGTGATATGAATGCTGCGTGTTGTCTACCAGACTGGCTTTTTGCATAGTATGCTGTCTGGCAAAGTGGATTCTGACCTGGAAATGAGCATACACAGTGTTGGCGCTCTCTCTTCAACCTGGAAGTTGTCACCCAGTAGTCTTGTTTTATAGGGAAATGAAGTAAAGGGAGGCCAAAAGTACTGCTTTTCTCATTACTAAGATCTGTAATTGTTAATCTTTTGTCCTTGTCATCACACCAACATTTTTTCCTATTGTCAAGTTTACATTTATAATTTAAGCTTCATTCTATGCATGATGCAGTTAGTTTTATTAGTAATTTGAAACCTTGAAAGGTTTAGCCATGTTTATTCTGACGATGACATATTTCCTTGAATGCACAATGGACTCCTGCAGCAATGTCTAAAGTTCTGATAATCCCAAATGTTTTAATTTACCAATGTGCACAATGCAAATGAGAAAAAAAACAGTGTCATTACACTGTTGTCTTCTAATAAAAGGTGAGTTACTGCTTTTCTCAATTACTTAAAACTGTAGAATCTGTCTTTAGTCAAGAACTCTAATCGTGACCCAATCAGATTGTTCGCAATTCAGTTTGTTCTGTTGAGAACTGGAAAGGTCCAACAAAAATTCAAACTAAACTAATTCAATAAACATGGAACACCAACACTTGAAGCCCAATTGGGGCTTCAAAAAATCCCAAACACCGTTATCTTAATGGCTCTGAAGGTCAAGGGCAGTGAGTGGAATCCTTTGGGACAGTTTTCTGCTCTTGTGTATGAATCTAAACATACAGAAAAGGCATTTCTCACTCTTGATATGGCAACATAGGCGTGTGGGGCACATACTGTATATTGAGCGCACATAGATGATTAACGTATGCTATTAATCTTGTAGAAAACTCTTTAATGGTAGAAGCTAAACACAATCCTGGAGGAAGATAATGTACTCCACACTGATGTATTATTGTTTGTAGCAGAGAGCTAATGCTGAAAGAAAAGTTGCATCTGTTGCATTTTTTGCTATGCATTATTGATAATAGAAGGATTGGTGCTGTATGGATAAAGAGACAAAGTGATTTCTGTCTAAGTTAATAGTAGTTCTTTACCTCTTAGTGCTTACTTTCTCATCTGTAAATGTTTCATGTTGACTGGAAATGAATGATCCATTGCTGGGTTTGTCAAACTTCTGCACTGTTTGCCTCATGCATAAGGTTGTTTGGGTGCTTGCCAACTCTTCACTTAGCTTAGCAGATCTTTCACTTATATTGTGTACTCCAATCAGCTATAACTTTATGACCACCCACCTAATATTGATTAGGTCCCCTTTTTGCAACCAAAACAGTCTTGACCCATTGAGGCATGAATGCCACTAGGCCTCTGAAGTTATGCTGTGGTATCTGGTACCAAGCTGTCAGTAGCAGATACTTTAAGTCCTGTAAGTGGTGATTTGAGGTCTCCATGCATCAGACTTGTTTTTAAAGCACATCCCACAGATGCTTGATTGGTTTGAGATCTGAAGAATTTGGAGGCCATGTCAACAACTCAAACACATTGTGTTTCTCAAACCATTCTTGCAGTGTGGCAGGGCACATTATCCTGCTGAAAGGGGCCACTGCCATCAGGGAATACCGTTTTCATGAAGGGGTTTACTTTGTTAACAGCAGTGTTTTGGTAGGTTGTACATGTCAAGTAATATCCACATGAATGGCAGGACCCATGGTTTCCCAGCAGAACATTGCCCAGCGCATCACACTGACTCCGCCGGCTTGCCTTCTTCCCATACTGTGCATCATGGTGCCATTAAAAACATGATTTGTCAGACTAAGCCACCTTCTATTGCACAGTGGTCCAGTTCTGACGCTGACATACCCATTGTAGGTGCTATTGACAGTGGACATAGGTCAGCATGGGTACCCTTATCGGTCTGCAGCTACGCAGCCCCATACACAACAAACTGCAATGCCTATTTTTGTGCTTTCAACACATCAGTTTCAGGGACAACATGTTTACTTGCTGCCTAATCTAACCCACTGACTTTTAAATGCCATTGTAAGATGATAATCATGTTATTCACTTAAACTGTGGTTCAGTGGTATAAAGAACAGTTCCTTAAAAGCGGCACACAGACCTTTTTCAGAGGTTCAGTTATGTTGTATACCATACAGTTCCACTAGTTTGAAAATTCCCATTGCATGTTTGATTAGTTACTGGCTTGCATGGGTCTGCATGGTATCATTGCTAATACACCTAAAGCTCTGTGTGTGTGTATATGTGCTTGCACTAAATCCTTATGCCTGCACTTCCATCGGGTGAGCTGTATCCTAGGGAACTGATGGCCATTGTAGGACTTAAACAGGTAGGTGGGGCTTTCAGCCATTCGATGCATTGATTATTATAAAATGGAATGTGCTATATTTGATGTGATAGTTTTATTTGTTACTGCTAACATTTTAGTTTTACTTTAGGACCTGTCTGGAAAATGTTTAATTTTGATTCTGGTAGAGGGTACTATGGCAGTCTGTGATGTGGCAATCCAGTGATGTCTTCTAGTGCTCTACTCCACTCAGTGAACATGATGCTGCCTCCTTGTCAGAGGTTTTTGGCCCCATTGGCTTCAGTAGGGAGTCCTTAAAAACATTGATCAGCAGGGGCAGTGAGTACAATAGATCACGACAAAACTTCACTGGACACAAAGAACTTAAACATTGGGACTGCTGTGGTATCATTTTGACCTTTAGCTTCCTTTTAAGCAAAAATATATATTTTTTTGGGCGGAGGTTTATTTAACACTAGGAAATGACAGTTTGCGCTATCTACACAAAGAAAAATGTTTATGCTTAGCTGCATACATCATCTCATTCATTACAAATTTTGGGCATGCTCATTTTAATTTTCTTGCTCTTCAGCGGCTCAATTTCTTTATAATGCAGTGTTTTTAAGATACGCTGCAATTGAAGTTTACAGGGCACTGTTTGCATCGAAACTGGTCATGTGAAACCTAATGCCATTTCAGAATGAAAAAATGACTTTGAGTACGTGGACAGTCATGTACCTCTTTGGTTTTGGACCAGTGTGGCTAGTCTTTGCTTCCATAAAATAATAGGAAAGTCCCTGCATAATGCTGTGGAAACTTTAGGTTAGTAGGGCTTGGCTATCATGTTATTGCCTCTTTGGATGGAAGATAGGTAAACATGGCACCTAAAGAAAACTTTTTCTTAGACTAAGAAAAGTAAAGGTTTTGTTTGATAGGATCCAGAAGGTGTCTATACTTTGATTTGCACACAATTTCAGTGTGTGCTGAGCATTCTGAACATTTTAACTTTGCTTTTATTTTTTTGAAGGTAATCTCTGCCTATTCATTTTTCATTATGTGCCCTGTTTAAATTGCCCAGGTTTTTGTTGGGTTTACCTTGAAAGTCTCTGTCAAAGGATGATGGCCAACACTACAAGTGAATTTAAAGCGACCATGTCCCCCCACTGGTTGCTGTGGTACCACCTGCCAACCCCGTACATGACACAGTAGTGACATAGAGGTCAGTGGGAGGAGGAACCTTAGGAGCCATTGGTGGACACGCAGGCATACCCAGAAATGTCAAATAGCAGTGGTGCTCAGGGTTCTCCAAGAGGGCACAGATTCAACATGCCACCTCTTAGATGAATATTACTCCTCTTCTTTCTTTTGCAGGGTACTTTCAGTTTGATATTGTTGAGTAAGAATCACGGTTGCTTTAATTAGGGATTCTATGCATCTTTATTGAAAATTAAAACTCCAGCTCTAGTTCACAATTTTCATTTCTAGTTAAAGTATCCTCAATGCAAGGATAATTTTCTCCTTCATTGTGAGGATAATTTTAGTGCTTTAGATTTTTTTGCCTTTATTAACAATATCAGATATTAGATTAGACTGACTTTTCAAGCCTGTTTTATGGTTTTTCCTCCTCACTGATTGCAGCTGAGACAGAGCAGCAAGAAGCAAAGTAGTACTGCCAACTGTACCATATAAGCAGCTCTGATAATGTACACCTGTGTCAAAGGACAGCATACTGTGCTATGAAGAAAAGAAGCAAAATAGGCAAAGTGTTATGCCTTGAAGTGTCTTATTTTAAAAAGTCTATTCTTCTTTGTATTTGTAAGACCAATTAGGAAAATATAATAATATATAGAGAAGATTAAAGAAACCCATTTCTTTGCAGTTTAAAGAAACTACTGCTAGATATTAACTGTTAAGCTTTGAAAAACTCATTGGGTGTATAATCAATGAATGCAAACTCTGTTCTAGTCTTTTCTCAGAGACTCTATTTCCTCTAAGGTGCTGTCATCTTTTACAGCATAGAGAAGGTGAAGTCTTTAGTGTTCCTGAATATATCTAGGCGAAGAGGTTAGAGATGGAGATGAGTGCTTAGCTGTTGACATTTGAAAAAATGTCTACATTTGCATATATACTGTGTATAAGCAATTCTTCTGGGTAATAAAGTAGTGCATTTGAAACAGTTTACAGAGTAGATTATGAATGTATCACTATACTTTTATGCTTGGGCCATGAAGAAGTTCACTTTAACTTAAGTAACACCTTGTGTGCTACAAGGAAATAATTTACATTGTTTTTTTTATTTTAGGACTTGAAGGCACCTTTACTGGAGAGGACTCTATTAATCTTAATGATGCAGATGAAGGTTTCTCATCAGGGGCCTCCGTTAGTAGCCAGCCTGTTGGAGCCAAGCAAACGACCTCTTCATCTCGAAGTGGTTCAAGAAAAGGTGGCAGCGTGCGATCAGTCAAAAAGAGAAAGAACAACCTAGTCCATCAAAGCCTAATGAAAGTCGGGAGACCACACCTAGAAAACAGCCTGTTCCCACAGCTGCAGATACTTCACTTGAAGCGATTGAGCTATCACCTATGAAAAAGCACCTGAGCCTCCCAGCAGGCCACGTGGTGCCAAAAGCAAATAGTCTTAGTCTGATCCGAACCTCCAGCACTTCATCCAGTAAATCTTTTGATTATGTTAATGGCAGTCAGGCTGGTGGAAGTGGTGGGATAGATGGAGTGACAAACCTTTCCACTTGCAACACCAACCGATTTTCAACAATAAGCTTACAAGAGGACCGATTAGGCCAAGCAGGAGAGGGCAAAGACCTATTATCTGCTGGTGCCCCCTTGACCAAACAGTCTCGATCCCCAAGTTTCAATATGCAGTTAATCTCCCAAGTGTAGGTTCCCCTGCTGTCTTATAGAAACTGTGCAGCTTTGCATAGGAAGAAAAAATTATGTTATTGAGTTCCAAATCTTATTGATTTCCCTCATAAAATTGTGTTCATGCAAAGCAAGAGCAATACAAATTACTGTCCCAAAATTCCTAATCCCAATTCTACATACATGCAGTTTTTCTCGTCCAAACTCCCACAATTTTCTTCCCTTTTCTGGGTGAAGTGCAATTTAGGAAAAATCCCATTTCATCACTGTGAGTCTGCAATGAAGTTTTGCCAGAAAGATGGTCAACTTCAAGGAAGTTTTGGGAATGTGCTTATAGCTTGCACTCAAGTTACACAATGTCTTCATCTACCACATGTCCATGTTACCTACTTTAAATGTCATTGGATCTTTGAGTTTGTGAAACGAGTTTCAATATCTGAGGTTACATCTGTTTGTTTACTGTGACTTTGGACAATCCAATTTACTGATTATTTCTGGTAATCTTCAGCAAACATGTACTTCAGTAGATCGCATTTATCATCTGTTGACAACAGATATATTTAGATTTTGGTTTGCTTCATTTTCCATTTCCCAACATATGCGTCTTCCCTCCCTATGTGGGGTTTGTCTGACTTAAGGATTTAAACTTGGACAAAAAAAAACCTAAATGAAAACCAGATTGTCTTTTTAGGATGTTCACTTTACCTACTGGCTAATGCTTGCAGTTGGATGTCAAGTTCAATGTCGGGTAAAAGGAGGGACTCTGTAGGCTGTCTTTTCTTTTGCAATCAGCCGAAGAGCCCTCTCAGCTGCTCCCCTAAATCCCTTTTTCCCAGTATCTATAAAGATCTCAAACCCACTCATGGTGTTTGTTCCAATCCAGCCAGGCAAGGTATGAGAACACATCAGGGAGTGTTATACAGCCTGCTGGAATTGCTGTTGTACAAAATGATATTGTGTTCTCTGTCCTTTTGGTAAGCCTCTTGACCACACTGCCATTGATATTGACCATTTGTTTTGTAAGTTGTGATAACATCCCTAGACTTACATGATTTTGGAAGGGTGGGGATAGTGGGTGTGCTGATTAGTGCTGTGTGACTCCCACAATCACCAACAACCCATTAAAGCAAGATTATTTGTTTTTTAGCTTTCCTTCTGCTAATCTAGCTGTAAATGTATTGGGTTGTTCAATGGCAGCATTTGGAAACTAGTTACATTATCCATAAGAGTACTGTGTGGTTGAAGATGTTATTTTCCTGTCCAGTAGCTCGTTTTTTGGAGCAGTACTAGCCTGCTAGTGTCCCTTGGCTTTTAGATGTTTACATTGTTACTGTCTAGAGAGCAAACTACAATCTTCTGTAATTTGTTTTGGGCAACTAAGTTATTGTTAGCTGTAGATGCTAACAACCAAGACTTGACATTGTGTTGCGTACTAGCTATTCATTCTGATAAGGCCTGTCTTCTTGCCCTATAAAAATAATAGCTGGTTACTGGTGCGCACAGATGTGCTCTATCATGCTGTGTATTGCTCTAAAGTGACATACTTTTGTGTTTTGACATATGCTAAGAAAGATTCTAATGTCTGTCTTCTTTATGCTGGATAACTCAGAATAGCAACAGCCTAACTTGCAGTTCTCAATCAAATGAAGCTTGGAAAAAGTAGCTGCTAACTGGCACCCCTAAAGGAAGTTCAGAAGGGACCAGTATACTGTATTAACAAGTGGATGTAATGCTGGCTGTAAGTCCTGTCTACTGGGCTGCTGCTATGGAAGTGGCAATAATATAAACGATTATAATTGTATATGCAGACCTATTTCTTTAGCTGAAGACAGCTGATGCAATGGTTGGCTCAGCGTCAAGGTCAGTGTTGATTTGGCTGAGCTGATGAAGCAGTAGCTTCCATATGTTACTTTCCTTTAATTGTAAAATGTGTTCTGATATTTTCTAGAATGTGGCTGAGTTTGTGTTATACATGCACTGAGAGTCTTGATAAGGTTTATTTAACCAGTACATGAAATGTGTTACAGTGCATAATCCCATAGAAAAACTTTCAGAATTAATCTTTTACTTATTACAGTAAAGTGAAATTCAAATGGTTACTTTGAGTAAAGCAGGCCATACACTGACTGAATTTTGACCTTGTCATACTGGCTGAAATTTGATCAGTGAGTGGCCCTGCTGGTACCTCTCCACCCGACATCCTTCTAATAAAAATTAAAGGAGCCGGGTGAAAAATTGTGAGCCAAACAGAACCTGCATCCAATCAGATTCAGGCTCTGTTTAGGTATTCTGACAGCCCGCAGTGGTCACAATCTGCATTCAATAGCCACAACAGGAGATTCATCCATTTGCACTATTTAGTAGCCTATCTAGTTCACAGTGCAGCTTAGAAAACATGAATATTTGAAACTGAAAGACCTTCCTAAGAGCAAACATCACAAGGTGAGAGGTGTGCTTACCAGAAATACTGCTACTGCCACTCGCCTAAAGAGGAGCACTGGCCCTGCCGCCCCCCTCACTGCCCCCCCCCCCCCCCCCCCGTTAATTTTTTTTTTTTTTTCAGTGTTATGCCCAATTAACATGTTCACCCAACCAGTGAATCCAGAGTTTTGACTTGAGCTGGTGTCACAAGTCAGGTCTTGTGCTGCCATTTTTGTTGTTGATGTCATCGGGTGCCAGCTGCCTCTTCCTGGTTTAGGCAGCACAGACCCCTGATATTTCATGGCCGGCCCAACTCACCTCCAGCCATATTAATGCAACTTGGAGCATTCTGGGGTGTGTGATATGCACATACAAGGAGTGATGAAGCAGTCAGTCTCACTTGTGCAAGAATAGCAGTTGCAAGATAGGGGCAGACAAAAAACCCCCCACATAAAATAACTGTACTATTGAATAAAACGTTCATCAAAAAATAATTAATAAAATGAAAGTCCTCTGCCATCAATTGATTGAACAGTCCTATTTCTTAAATGTGTATCATCGCTTGTGCTTGATCCAGTTACATTAAGTGACTGTACCACCACCACTAGATGTCCCCTCACCTCCACCCTATGACATCACAACAATTGCTCAGTAATAATATGCCTTTGTCCCTTTAATGGAACATGAGGGTCTCCTGTGTATGTCCATCGCCACTTTCTACAGCTTTCCGCTCATCTCCTCCTTAATATCCACTCTACCACAGGTACACAAAACACTACATCTGGACCTTTGGATGGCATCACGACGCTCGTTTGAGCAAGAGAGAGGTATCAGTATAGAGGTGGAGGGGAGAGTTTGATGCTTTGGTGCATCTAGCAATTGAAGGTCTGCTTTAAGCTTCACCATACATGTTACAATCTGACAGTATAATCTTTGGACAATCTCATGTAGATGTACTAAAACTGTGGAGCATGACAACCTACCAAAATTACCATTCCAAGTTGTATCCAGTCAAACAGGCCCTTGAACTACATAGATTTTGGTAGATATAAAAAAGATTGTACAGTCAGATTATAATGTGTAGCCTAAAGTGGAAATATAGGCTAATATGTCTGCGTCTGCCTAAAAATGTTAGGCAGGTGACAGGCCAGTAACTGTCAGACTTCAGGTGATATCTGACCCTCTATTCACCACAATAAAAGCAGCAGGTACTATATTTGTTTCCCAACACTTGATAGTACAGAAATGATCCCATTTGTTTCTTGTCATGTGAGCTGCGTTCTTACAGATACTGAGCCAACACACAAGATGGCTGCCTTGTCTGTATAGAAGTGACTGGTAAGCCCTACTATACCATAAAACAATAACCAAAAAGTTCCTAAATCTGTACAAAAACTAAGATAGTAGAATTTCTTTTGCTCTTTTTAAGCTAACATTTGAGGCAAAAAAGAGGTACCAAAATGGTATCTGATCATGTTCTCCAGAAAAGTTAAATTACAACAAATCGGCTGTGCATTGGATAATATCACTCCCTGATAACCTCCAGAAACTAATGTACAATATTAATGTTATTAAAATCATATTTATATAAATCCATTTAACAACAGCACTTAATTTGGGTACAGTGACCCTTTACAATCAATTCCTTTTAAGATTATTGAATAGCCATTGTTAATGTATGTTGATGTACAATAGGCAAGCATATATTTTTTCTAAGTGAATCTACAGATCTCAAATCCGTAACTAAACACATAGATTATGTTGCATTACTTCCTGTATGTTGAAATGCATATATCACTAGAATTCTTTTTCAGTGCAAACGGTTACAAAGCTGGGCAATTCAAACTAGTCATATGATCAAAAACTACGTAACCAAACGATAACATCAATGCAAACTGCAGATATCTGCACATGCAGATCTTATCCTACAAATGTCCAGCTTGGCAGCTATCCCTCTCTCCCCAGGATCCTCCCAGTTTATTTGTTAAAGTGATTCGTCGTCATTGACCAATGGGAAACCTCAGAAGGTGAGAGGACAGACCTTGACTTTAATAGGATTTACCTATAATTTTAAATGAAGGTGTCATCTGATTTTTTTTTTTTAATTATATACTCTGAATGGCCAAGCTTTGTGACTGGTTTACTTTAAGGCAGTGTTCCTTTATTTCCCGGTCTGTGAACTAGGTTAAGGTGGGTGTAGGGTGCTAATTCTGCCCACTTCTGTTCCCCCTATCCTCCAACCTCTAACTGTGAAGTGCTGGTTGCTCTGGTTGCTGCCTTTGCTTTTGTTCTTTTATATCCTGGGCCTATGGAAGGCTGCGAGGAAATCCAGACAATCTGGAAGATCAGAGCAGAATGCCATTGCTGGCACTAAAGACTTGCAGTTTTAAAGCAGCAGATTTGTGAATCGAGGTTCAGTAGCAGGTTTAAGTAATGTCCTTTAAATGATACACAGACCTGATCTTTGTACTATTATATTGATATTCCTACTTTAAACCATCATACATGGGGACATTCGGGGGTCTTACTTAAAGCAGTACTAAAACCAAAAATGTAATTGCAGCTTACCAATCATTAGATGTGGTGACTGCATTCGTTTT